CACGCCGATGTGGCTCAACACTTAGGACTCTTTAATTCTATTCAATGCCTGCAGTAATAAAAGTGCACTCGAAGCATTGTGGAGTTAATTCTTGCTGTAGAAAACGCGTTCTATGAGTTGCCGACTGACACGCTTGCAAAGACTTTCGTACATGTAACTCTTGAAAAAGGTATGGAATTGTCCATTGAAATACTTGATAGCAATGATTATAAACTTCCTCACATGAAGCAGGATGCTCTCATTGCAGACTTGTCAATGTCGAGTTTCACGCCTCGCCTTACGAGAGCGCTTTGGCCAATATGAATAGCCTACTGGGTAAGGAGGTTCACCTCGATGCCTTGCTCAATTCTCTTGAATGAGAAACTAAAAAAATACAATAAATTTTGCAGCGTATATGCTGTTTTGGAGTTGAATACAAACATCAAGACGTTTCAATGGCGCTGTACATACTTTAATCAAGTGAAAAAGTACCTGACAATTTATGTGGAACGGTGTAGTAATCGAAAACAGTGGCATCCGTGTACATTATATTTTCGCGTAAATGAGTACTGGGCGTAACCTTTGACATATTGTACATCCCTGAATGTATGACATCTCCATTTAAATGTAGTAACATTTATTTTTCATAATGACGTGTTGTCGAAATGGGCTTGGAGTTTTGGTTTTACATTTGGATGATTTAAGCGTACTCACCCTTCTCGTACACGACAGTTCCATGTACATCCTAAAATCAAAACCTTACTTAGGCTAACCACCAAGGGCAACAGAACATCCGCATGCAATGCCATTCCCGGGATGGCCTAGCGTGTACACGCATCGTTTGATCCATGTACAGTATACAACACAGATATGAGGCAAAATTATGCACGTTTTTCCACCATCACGCTCATACATATAAAAAATACACGAAAATGAGCATTTTCCATCGAGTAGGATTGACTCTCGTTGCTTAAATCGTTTGAAAACACGACGTTGAAACTAATCTCTCCCTATGTCCCACTTACTAAGCAGTAATTTTCGAGCCTATTCGTTCGGACAAATGCTTAGGGATTTTCAGCCTGGTTTAAGTTCCATCATTGCAGAACCTCGATCCCTGGTTGTCCGGACATCGTGAAGGCTGCCCTGTACATGCTAACTCGGGTGGAGCGATTCAACTCGCCGCCTTGGAGGTACTGCCGCTGATAGAAGGGCTAATAAAGTCGGCCAGTTGAGTGGGCGGCCAGCGCGGGGGGCGTTCGTTCAGTATCCACAGGATCTTGGGGCAGAAGGGGCTGTTATCGGGAAGGGCGATCAGATCCCATGAATTAACTGAGGTATGCATGCAAATGACCACCATTTCGAACTCACCCCATACGATATGTTAGTTCCAAGTGTCATTCATGGAATTTGATCGTCCATGGCGACTAACCAAGTTGCGTTGTCGGTGGGAATTGGTCGCCCATGACAACAGCTGTCAAGACCGTGTAGTTTGTGCCTGTGTCGTGTCGGCCGCGGGATGTCGCGCTGTATGTGTCCTGTCCCATTGTTCATGGCCTATTGTGTTGGGCACGGCTATGTTGTGTCGCGTCGCATAGTCTGTCGTCGTGTCCTTGGCTGTTCGTCGGTGAGCCGTGATTACTGTATGAATGTATTAGCGTATTGCTATTGCTACAATGTTCTCACGACGCGTAGAGCTGAGGCTGGTGACTCTCACCGTCTTCGTAATAGCGAAAGTACATTAGATTAGAGCAAGAGCTACCAGCTACTGACTACTAACAGCTTCACTTCGCCTGGTCGGCTTGAACAAACACTTCGGACCCTACCTACAGTATCGTACTGTACCTGGCGGATGTCCGAACCACCGCGAGGGCAACGTACTTCTCGTTGGCAACGATCCCGCGGGAACACTGCCCTCCTAGAGAGAATGCCCCACCGCTTGCTCAATATCGACAACCAACGCCGACATCGTTTTCATCTTGGGGTTCGCCTTCGCCCAGCGGCGAAATACTACTGGGATGTCTTCATACCGCTGTGTTGCGGGCTCCCACGAGGCTTCGGCGTCATCCAGGCCGAGCCACTTGATCAGTACTTCGAAGCGGCCGGCGTTGTCGCGGATCTCCTTGAGGGTCTCCACGTGGAATCCGCTGTCTCCGAAGGCGACCTGCTCGAGGAGATCCTCGGCGACGTCGCGACCCGCTTCAGAGTACAGCTTGAGTCGACTGGCATGATGGAAGCTGATGCCATGTGGGGGCACCAGCTGCTGGACTTCCATAATGTGGTCCGACAGGACCTGTACCACGCGGTAGGGACCCTTCCAGCGTAGAGTCAGCTTGTTCGGGTGTTGAACCACCCGAGCCACCAACACGTAATCAACCAAGGCCAGGCTTGGCTACTTCACGCCTTGTTTGTTTTCGCGCTGCTTGCGCTTCCTGTCACGCTTCGCCGCCGCAATCGCCACACAGTCCTTGTGCATCCAATCGAGGGCGGAGGCCACCGCTTGCAGGTGATTCTTCTGGCTCTTTGCCAGCCAGTCCACCGTCGCCTGTTCCTTTTGAAGCGGGTGGAAGAGAGCGCGCAACGGTGTGCTGGCTGGCAGAGCCAGGAACGCCGTGATCGGTGGGACTCCACCCAAACGATTGGCGGGTTGCATCCGCTGAGGATGAACTTTTGGGACTGCTGTCCAACGTCCTCGGCATATGCGGGACGTATGGTCTGAAGCTCCACCCGAATAAGTGTGACTTCTTCGCGCGTCGCGTTGAGTGCTGTGGCAAGTTGATCTCCGCTGAGGGGATCAACCACTCGCCCAAGCGCATCCAAGGCCTGTGCGACTTGGCGGCCCCGGAGACGGCCGCCGAGTTGCAGCAGTTCGTATGCGCCATCAACTAGATGCGCGCCTCTATACCAGTGTACGCCCAGTTGGTGGCGCCGCTGATGCAGCTGTTGCACGTCACCGCGAAGGCCGCCAATGGCGTACGGCGGAAGGTGGCTTTGGCGACGGTCCAACTGGCTAGTATCGGCTGGGCTGAGGACCATGCCGTTTGTTTTGAAGCGATCAAGGATGCGTTACACTGCATGGTGCCGCTGGCCAACCGTCTGCCGACATGGTCGTCGTTTGTACACCGACGCCAGCGACGGGTTCTGGGGCGCGGTAGCCACCCAGATTCCGACCGAAGGCCTCGGTGTGCGAACAGTCGACCAACGTCATGAACCGCTCGCGTTCCTGAGCGGTGCCTTCCGAGGGGCAGCGAGCGATGGCCCATCGTCGAAAAGGAAGCGTTTGCCATCGCCCAAGATCGCAAGCGCCTCGAGTACCTTCTGCGGCGCCCCGGTGGATTCCGTCTGTTTACGGACCACCGGAACCTTGTGTACATATTCTACCCCGGCGGGGGTGGGACGAATATTGCCAAGTACCAAAGCAGGCTGCAGCGCTGGTCCAAGGTCATGTCGACCTTCCCCTAGGTGATCGAGCCGATCATGTGTGTGGTGGCCCATGCGGTACGGGAGGCCATCGTCGCACCGAAGCGATCAAGGCAGCGGTGACCGACCTGTTTATTGGCATGGCATCGGTCACGACGTCGAGACCTTTGTGAAGGCCTGCCTGCACTGCACGGTTGTGGACGGGGTTGTAGAGCCTCGGCCTTGGGGTCAAGCTCTGCACGCCGACCGACCAAATGAGCTCATCCATTTTGACTGGCTCCAGATGTCCGCTGTCAAGAACGGATGGCGCTTCGTCAAGGACGACATGAGCGGGTACGTGCGCCTGCACCCCTGCACCCCGGAGCCGAAGCCACCTCTCAGGCCACGGCTTCAGCCCTCTTGGACTGGTTTGGTCTCTTTGGCGCGACGTGGGTTAGTGACTGTGGGTCGTACTTCAAGAACCAAGTGATCGACGAGCTACGCCGAACGTTGGACGTACACCACCATTTTGTCACGCCTCACTGTTCCTGGGCCAACAAGACAGTAGAGGTCGTGAATCGTCTGATTCTCCGCATGGGGGGGCGCCCTGTCCAGCGAGCTCAAGTTGCGGGAGAATGAATGGGTTGCGACGGTGCCGATGGTCCAGTCAGCGCTGAACCACAATACCCGAGGAGGTCATCAAGCCACCCGAGGACCCCGTGAAACAGCAGGTCCCCGAACCTTTGGTTCACCGCCGCCTGGCAGAACGCCACGGTATCAGTGCAGCCCATCAGGACTCTTGTGGGGGTATAAACCCCATGGGGGTCATAAACGAGAACATCTGCTGGCTGTCGGGGTGCAATGGCAACTGCCAGTACCCCTGCATCCAGTCGAGATTGAAGTGCATGGACATGCCGGCCAGTGTCGCATGAGCCGCGTCCAGGCTGGGCATGGGCCACGGCATCGCCTCCGTGCAGGCGTTCACCGGGCGGTTGTAGATGGTCATGCGAAAGTCGCCCGGGTCCTTCTTGGGGACGATGCGCGGGGCGCATGCCCACCGGGACTGGTTGTTTCGGTACACCAAACCCGCACGTTCAAGTTCGGACACGTGTTCTTGCAGGTACTGCACATGGAGCGGCGGGTACCGCCGAAGGCCACATTTACCGGTACTGCGCCGACCTTGACACTGACTTTGAGCGGCTCCACCTTGATAGGCGGGTCTCCGCCCATCTCCAAGCGAAAGGCATCGATGTTGCATCGGAGCAGCTTCCGGAGAGTCCCTCTTCCTCCGCCTTAACCAACTTGGCGGTGTGGACCTCCCATATGGTGGTTTCTCGCTCTGCTTGTTCCTTGGGTCCGAAAGCAGATGGTTGAGGCGTAGCACATTGCAGCCAATCTTCTTCGTCGCCCCCGTCATCAAGTCCATCTGCATCAGACGGTTGACCCTCGCTAGGGTCGTTGACGCCCCGGGACCAGAGTCCACTACGTCCATGTCCCAGACGGCACCTTGTTTTCGGGCTGCCTCGAGCACCCCACTGGCTGAACAACCCAGGGCGTTCATCACTGGCCGCCCAAAAAGCAACTCGATCTTGTTCTTCACGGCCTCACCCACCCATAAGTCCAGGCTCCGGAGAACCAGCGGACCGCAGGATGTCTGGAACTCTACGGAACCCAACTTGACTTTTCGGGTCACCGTAATCACCGGTGTTCCCTTGCTATACGGTGCTAGGTCCGTAGAGCGCGGCATGTCGCGCATCACCACACTGACTCCCGCTGCGAGTAACGCGGTCACAAATCTAGCGAGGCGACGGACGTGTCGGACCCCGAGTCGAGCAGGGTCGGAGTCGTGGGTAGGACACCCTCGACGACGCACTCAAACCGTGAGGCTGATGTCGACGGCGCGGGGCCTTGAGTGCATTGACTTGTTTGGCAACTTGGTCCCGGCTGCCATCGCCAACCGCACCACGTTTTGGGGCGCTGCTGGGTCCTCACCCCCGGCATTACCATCCCGCCCGGCTCCGCTACCGCGCCGGCCTCCTCGGTTTCTACGGAGCAGTTCGGACGCTTCTTCTGGGGGTTGCCTTTGGGCAGCTACGGACCAGATGGCCGCACTTGAGACAACCTCCCCGAGGTGTCGCTCCCGCCGCCGGCGCGTGCAGCACCGGTGTTGGGTTTGTTCCCCTTGGGGGGGTTGCAGTCTTCAGGTTGCAGCTTGACGAACATCTGGTACTTAGTTGCGTACTCCCGAAGCCACCGCACGAACTTGAAAATGCCCGTTTTTAACGTCTTGTTGCGATGCATTGCGATCTCCTCCTGTACTGCCTCTTGTAGTCCGGCTGGCTTGATCGCATCACGATGATGCAGACCTTCATCTTGTCCTCCTCACGGAGGACCCACTCCTGATTGTCTAGCTCGATGGCCTTCATTAGGCCTACGAGCATCTTTCGGATCCTCGAGTCGCCATCGGTGATCGACAGGTCGAACTTGACCGCACCACGTAGTTTTGTACGGATCCCTTCAAGGTCCGATGGGAGGACGTCAAAGCCGAGGCGCATCCATGCTACCCATTCGGCTTCGGTGACGAAGTCAGCCGGCTCGTTCATTTCCCGCATGGCAATTAGCTTCTACGCATAGTGGTCGATGCAGGCTGACACCGGCATCATCAAGGTTTGGTGGTCGTTGTCTGCAGAGCAGCCACCTGTTCTAGATATTGGTTGTACTCGCGCATAAACTAGCGTCGTTTGTCCATTGTCGAGCCCTTGAACTTCGGCGCATGCGAGATAGCGGGCGCGTTGAACACCATCGGGTCGTTGACACCCATGCTCTCGTCGTCACGTTCTTCGGCAGCCCCACTCGCCGCGGACGCTGCGCGGGCCATTCGAGCCGGCTCTGGAGCCGATGCTGAGGTTGTTCCGGGCGCCGCTGCCGCCGGTTCCACCGCTGCCCCATCGGACGGCGCAGCGTTCGCGGCGACTGGTGCTGCCACCGGGACAGTCCAGGTTTCATGTCTCGTCCAATAGGCCGCCGTCCATGGTTGTCGTCCCTGAGGCGATTGGAATCGTTCGCCACCCCGAGGGCTGCGCGATATTCTTTGCGCCAAGCCAGAGGTGCGCCTTGCAATGTCGGAGACGTCGAAGTCGAAATCTTCACGCTCCATGGCAGCCCGTTCCACCGAACGGCAGCAAAAGCTTCAGCAGTAACTAAAGAATTCTTTGCTTTCACTCCCAGTCCTCGCGACGCGTAGAGCTGAGACTTTTGACTCTCACCGACTTCGTAAAAGCAAAAATACATTAGATTAGAGCAAGAGCTACCAGCTATTGACTAATAACTGCTTCAACTTGCCTGGTCGGCTTGAACAAACACTTCGGACCATACCTACAGTATCGTACTGTACCTGGCGGATGTCCGAACCACCGCGAGGGCAACGTACTTCTCGTGGGCAACTATCCCGCAGGAACATACATAGGCACTTCAAGTACCGCTGTAGTGGAGATTCTTGTTGCTACCCGAAGCGTCCTTGTCAATCGCTAGAAGCACTTGCAATGCCTACACCAGTCCGGACGCCGAACCAGTCAGTGATCGCTGCCACTTCTTCGAGCCTGACGCATTCCTCTAGATTCAATGAAGGCGCTCACGTGGGATTGGGCTCTGCGAGCCAACGCAGCAAGTATGAGACGATTACGATGCCTCTTAGTTGCCGTGAGTCGAAGCAGCAGCGACATCACGAGAACACCACCAACCATTTGAACTGCCTGTAAAATCGCCTTTTACATGCAATTCCCTGACTCGTGTCGGGTGCACACAAGTAATTGTTATCACTTCCGCACTTCGTGTGCAGCAAGCTGAGACTGGTGACTAGCGCTGTCTTCGATAAAGCAAAAGCAAAAGTACATTAGATCAGAGCAAGAGCTACCAACTACTGACTACTAACCGCTTCACTTCGCCTGGTCGGCTTGAGCAAACACTTCGGACCCTACCTACAGTATCGTAATGTACCTGGTGGATGTCCGAACCACCGCGAGGGCAACGTACTTCTCGTGGGCAACTATCCCGCGGGAACACTGCCCTCCTAGAGGGAATGCCCCACCGCTTGCTCAATATCGGCAACCAACGCCGACATCATTTTCATTCTTGGGGTTCGCCTTCGCCCAGCGGCGAAATACTACTGGGATGTCTTCATACCGCTGTGTTGCGGGCTCCCATGAGGCTTCGGCGTCATCCAGGCCGAGCCACTTGACCAGTACTTCGAAGCGGCCGGCGTAGTCGCGGATCTCCTTGAGGGTCTCCACGTGGAATCCGCTGTCTCCGAAGGCAACTTGTTCGAGGAGATCCTCGGCGACGTCGCGATCTGCTTCAGAGTAAAGTCGGAGCCGGCTGGCATGGTGGAGGCTGATGTCGTGTGGGGGCACCAATTGTTGAACCTCCATCAGGTGGTCTGACTGGACACGAACCACACGGTACGGCCCCTTCCACCGGAGTGTCAACTCGTTCGGGTGTTGCGCCACTCGAGCTATCAACACAAAATCGCCCAAGGATAGGCTTGGCCACTTCATGCCTTGTATGTTTTCGCACTGCTTCCGCTTCTTCTCGCGCTTGGACGCAGCCTTGGACACACAGTCCTTGTGCATCTGATCGAGGGCAGAGGCCACTGCTTGCAGGTGATTCTTCTGACTTTTCGCAAGCCAGTCCACCGTGACTTGTTCCTTCAATCGCGGATGAAAGAGAGCATGGAGCGGCGTACTAGCTGGGAGCGCCAGGAACGCCGTGATCGGTGGGACTCCACCCAGTCGATCAGCAGGTTGATGGTTGAGGGCCGACTGGACCATCGGCACGGTCCCGGCCCACTCGTTCTCTCGCAACTTGAGCTCGCTCGAAAGGGCCCGAATCATGCGAAGAACTTGTCGGTTCACGACCTCCACTGTCCCATTCGCCCAAGGACAGTGGGGCGTGACAAAGTGGTGATGGGCGCCGAGAGTTCGGCGCAGTTCTTCCATCACTTGATTCTTAAAGTGGGAACCGCAGTCACTGACCCAGGTCGCCACCACACCAAACAGCCCAAACCAATCCATAAGGACCGTCGCAGTCGCCCGGGCTGTCGCTTCCAGGCCCGGGTACAGGCGGACGTAGCCGCTCATGTCGTCCTTGACGACCAGCAGGTACCGCCATCCGTTCACTTCGGCTGGCATTTGAAGCCAGTCGAAATGGATGAGTTCATTGGGTCGATCGGCGTGCAGAGCCTGACCCCATGGACGAGGTTCCACAACACCATCCACGATCATGCAATGCAGGCAGGCCTTGACGAAGGCCTCCACGTCGTGTTCGACACCGTCCCAGTAGAACAGTTCAGTGACGGCTTGCTTCGTAGCCTGGGTGCGGCGGTGTCCGCCCATACCAGCATGGGCCACCACACAGCAGTTGATGCAAATCCACACAGCCGCTCGGGATCCACGTGGCTCCTGACGGCATCACAAAACAGCCCTTTTCGACGGACCACTTGACGAGGGACTTGTCTTCCTTGTCCTTGTTTGAACATGCTCGAACTTGTTCTTGTTCGAACATGGC